CGAACAATATCGATTGCACTCACCCAGTCTGTAGGCTCGGTCACCTTCGTGATAATGCCGGCTTGTTGCATGCTGTGCAATTTCATCTGGAGGGGTTGTTGCAAGGCCACTGGAACATGCTGTGTAGCCTGGACAACGGCTATGGTACTCTGACATAATACCATCTTGTGTATTCGTGGCATGCAACCGGTTCCAGTGAACAGATGGCGAAATTTGTCAGAGCCCTTCATGGCTGTTCTCGGACCCGCTGCGAACACATGGCACAAGTCCCTTGAGTTGCCATACATGAGAGTCTCGAATCGCTTGACGCCCCTTTTAGATGGTAAAAAATTTAGCACTGAGGTTGAATCATTCAGTGCGACTTTGGTACATATGACCCCGACATGCTGAATTGCCCCTGCTCCATACGAACATACTTAGCACCTCACTTACTTGGATTCAGCAGTCACTGAGGGTGCATCTCGAGGTAGCAGCTCAAAGGCAGCAAATTTGCTTGTGCTCCAGTGTCAACTTGTAGGTCTTCTGGCAGGCTCTTGACTTCAGCTCGCATTGTCCAGCTGCGTTGACTTTTGCCTAAATTTGACACCTGCAGAATGTCAAAGTTGCCTTCGAAGCCTAGGATCTCATGAACTTCTGTGGATGCTTTGCAACATATGGCAAAATGGTTGCGCCTGTGGCACGTCCTGCACTTCAACCCCAACACTGGACATGTTTGTGGTGCATGCTTGCGCCCACATTTAAACACTTGGAAAAGGCAGGTTCTGGTGAAAACGTTTTGCCATCAGGATCCACACGTACTGGATCTGCCTGTTTTCTGTTCGCATGTGCTGCTGCTGCTTCTGCAGCACTGCATGCCAGTTCTGCCTTTTGTAGAGACAAATTGTTATCCCTTAAGTGTTTCTCAAAGGTTGCTGTCTGTGGTCCCATAAACGATCTGGTCTCTGATTGACTCCTTAAGTCGGCCAAAGTTGCACGCTACTCCTTGCGTTTTCAGATCCCTTCAAAATGGTCGAAGGGTTCTCCCGGCTTCTGGATCCTTGAGCGAAATGCATAGCGTTCATGCACTATGCCACTTTGATAAAACGTGCATCGAACTTCTGCACGACTGTTTTGTAGTCGATGCTATCTTCCTCTTGCTGGTACTTGAATGTGTTAAAAATCTCAATGGCTTCCTCACCTGCGATACTTAAGCATACCTGTCAGGTCTCCCGGATTTGCCAGGAAACTCCCGGATTTTGGACCATTTCTCGTGTTTCTAGGGTTGGTTGGAAAATCTCCCGGAAATCAAAATTTCTGTGCATGATCTGGCCACATTAACAAAAATCTAATGCTATGCAATTTAAGCTTTCAAGCACGAAGCGCCTCTTAATTTAACCTTGTCCTGCATCAGGCGTAACCGGCAGTATCTCCCGAACAGTGTAATCGATGGTGCTGTCTTATCACCATTTCTCGTATTATTTCCTAGATGGCGTTTATTCAATAAAAGTGTGTGCAAAAGGACGGATGGATGCACAGACGCTTCGCCCCATTCATCATAACTCACTCCATGAATATGCTGTGATTTTTTTGCAAAACTATTTGCCTATTGCATTATAGCTTAAATGAATATGGAGGCATTCATGTATATGGACAGTGACTGATATGTGGGTTTTAACATAGGAGAACCACCATATGATTATGAAAGATGACGTAGTGGTGGACTCCGTAAATTTTGACCACCTGGGGTTCTTTAACGTGCACCCAATTGTGAGCATACAGGCCGACAGCATTTTCGCCTACATCGAAAATGTAAATGTACAGTAGAATCTCGGTCATATGAATTCGCGAAATGCTTCAGCCAAATTTCGCTGTGTCCCGTGAGCCAAAACTCGGATGTCCCGAAAACTTTGGCCGGTCTCGCCAGGTGAAACGAACTTCGTTGCCAAATCGTCAAGCAATGGCCGAGAGCAACATTCTGGAAGCTTCAGATGGACACGCACAGGCTAGGAAATTGCACTCACTTTCGACGCGATCATACATGGGGACGACAAACAGACGAAACTCCATAAATGCAGCATGCACGTCCAATGTTTACGCAGTCAAAGTGACGCTTCTTCCCGCAAATGGTGACAAAAACGGCTACAGATGCAATCATTGATAGCAAAAAGTGACATAGTTTCGAAGACGTGTGTGGCCAGCGCAGACGGATTATTAACGGAACTACCGTTTGCCGCTACTACCACGAGCAAAACTGTGGTTGCTGTGATGCTATTATTCATAGGGACTATGAGCTCCAAAAATATGCAGCTAACACAGTGATTGATTAAAGGCATTTAAAGATGGGGGTGGGGCAAAGCATTTGGGTCTTCATGTCAATCTGCGCATATGACTTCGGTGGAGCAAACCTAAATGTTTGACACACTTGTGCGTAGCCAGCTGCGCCATCCCTGTTCACGTGTGTCCCTGAAGGGGAGTTCTTTTGACTTAAGAAATGTTTTGTGCATATATCAAGGTATGAAAACCAATGGCTTGTTTTTCTAATATCAAATATTTGGGGTGTAATGACCCTTTCAATCTCTCTTGATGTTGGTACGTATCACCGCGATTACCACAATGCGAATTTTACGCTTACAAGACGGTTGCCCCCCCCCCCCCCCCCATACTGCGATGTTTCTTTTGCATGAAAAGGGGAGGGGGTAGGCATCTTGAAATCCTAAATGCAGAAATTAAAGGTCTTATTAGATGTAACAAAACCTCAAACGCGATGCCTGGGAGTGCCAGTTGGTCCCAAGCTTTACCCAGCTCTATCGGATGTTAGGTTAAACTTCATCTTCGATGGCAGGCAATGCGCAACCTGCATCCACGAAACAGTGCCTTATTGCTGACTGCCTTGTGATTCTATGATCCATACATTTCCAGCTATGTTGATGGCCATTGATCTGTGTTGCTCAACATTGCAAAACCAGACACATCCGTTTAATGATACAACTGTTTCTAATCGTACTTTAACCAAATTTTGAATGCCAAAGCAAGTTTTAAAAAGACATAGTCTCTCAATATATATTTTGCTTTTTATGCTGTTTTTTTAGTTTCGAACTTTGTGTTAAGCAAATATTTAATCGTTAGAGCCATCATTGTGTTGTGGTGATTTTTGCTTGTTCTGTTTTGTTATGAACAAAAAATTTAATGCGACTTAAAGGAGGCATGACCAAGCCAATTTCCTATTTACCATGAATGATCATTCGCTATATTAATGTAAAGTCAATGGAGGATGACGAGCCCCGAAAAAATTCTGCATCTAAGCTTTCATGTGCTGCTTGCAAAGTAATCAATGTTCAGAAAATTAATTTTCCTCCTACCCCTTGCATGTGCATGCGCACACACACTCTCGCTCATTAGAAGTGAGGAAAGGAAGGACTGACCTCCGTTCCTTCCCCTTCAGTGCAGATACCTATGCATAATGGCATTCGCGTCGATTTCAGTAGCATTATAGTGACTATTCTTGTAGGCTGGCTGAGAGGTTGCTAAAAGTATCGGTTGGCACCGCTGTTTTGGCCAATTATAACAATCTTTAGCCCAACCTAAACTGCTAAAAAAAAGAAAAAAAAAACAAAATTGTCTTCAGATTTGCTCATAGCAATTTTATGCCTATTGTTGTAGGGCCTGAACTTTTATTTTTAATGTCTTTTATATTTTTGTTTTGTTCTGCAGTGTGTATTCCGTTTCCTAATGTATATTCTTTATACCTTCACTGTTCATTAGTGCTCGGTATGTTTTAACGAACCAAAACTAATTCTTTATTGGAGTTTTATTCACTTGTAATTGTCATCCTGGTTGCGTTAGTCAAATGTATAAATTGGCTCCTTTGTTAGTACAAAGCTTTTCTTTTTTTCTAATAGAAGGGCCCATCAAAAATTTCAAATGATTAGTAAAATAATAAAAAAACCTTCAATAGTGACCAGTAGATGAAAGGTTAAATTGATATAAACCAGTGAATGCTTAATTAATTTATGTAAAAATAATGCTCCACCTCCGACAATTGTACCGTAGTTGTGCAGCATATTAAGGGGGCCCTGAAATACTTTTTCAAGTAATCATGGAATGAATTCCCTGGAAGAGCTTATTGCTTCATGATTTCAACGCCACAAAAATGTTAAGAATCTGTCTAGTGCGAGTGGAGTTACAAAGATTTGTCGCATGCTGCAATGCCATTCTCCCGTCTCTTGTCCTGTCGAAAGTGCTGGAAGCTAAGCAGGGAAGGAGGGTATGTCAGGGGCAAAGAATGTATGCATTCGCACCTTGTAACCTTGAGCACTTTTTTCTTTTCTTCGAAAGCGCGCGGGTTTTTCAGTGTGAACTTGTGCACATGCGTTGACAAGTCGTGGCCTCCCGCCGTGATTTCTGTAACGATCGAGCGTGCCATGTTCAAATCCGCCAATGGCCGCTTGATGGGCTTTCTAAGAGTGAATTTTGAGCGTCTTCCGTCATTTGTCGACAGAAGAGAAAGCAATTTTTAGCCGACTTTGATAATTTATTGTGAATTCTAGGCCGTGTGCTGCACTATAGTATTTGGCTCGCATGTTGTCGGGAGCCTTTACTACCGATCGACAGCGTTTTCTGACCATGCTCAAAAAGTATTGCAGGGCCCCTTTAAAGCATTTACATGTGTTACCAAGACATTCAAGATGTATTGAAACAGTTGAAGTTGTCGTGGTCACTATTCACAGAGTAAGCTTTTAAGCTTTGTACTTTATCTTGCTTGTTTTATAAATTTTTTTGTTTTAAACCTAAAGCTGACATTGTGTGCTTATCGACATACGTCGATAAGCTTTCGTCACACACTGGCATTATTCACTGCCCTGCTTGTTTGTATCAGCTGTTTTAGCTGTGGGAGCTTTGCGAAATTGGGAGTTCTATGTCATGCTTGCTTTAGTAGCACTGTATACTATGTTGTAAAAAATTGCTGCTGTTTCACTTCTAGGATGTGACATAATTTCTTTTTTTTTTATCTATTTTTAAAGGTTTTTGAAGGCAACAGACCAACTAACTCGATTCTTGTCGACAAGATATCACCATTCAATCTAGGAATGCTGATCGGTGAGTACATCAGCTTGTGAAAATGTACTTATGTTTGGTTTACTTGAAAACTTTATACTACATTTATTTCTTTATTTTTCAGCAATGTATGAGCATAAGATCTTCACTTTAGGCGTCATATGGGACATCAATTCCTTCGATCAGTGGGGGTAAGCCTCTTTTTTTGTGCATGTGTGTGTATCACTACATCATTCTGTACAAACACACACATGCACTCCGTAAAAAGGTGAATCAATTCAAGCAATTCTGTTTTCCAGTGTTGAACTTGGCAAGCAATTGGCCAAAGTCATAGAGCCGGAGCTGAAAGGCAAAAATGAAGTGTCTACTCATGATTCATCGACAAATGGCTTGATCAACTTCATCAAGTCCTACAACAAGTAGCTTTTTTGTCCATGATTTGGTGGTGTTAAAATTACTTAATGATTCAAAGCAGCATTTTCAATTGAGCAACTAAACTTACAATAAAGGCAGTAATTTGGAAGCTGTGAGAGGCATGTCAATGGCTCTTGCATTATAAAATAAATGAATGTATGTCTTCAAACTACTGACATTGTTTTGCATTCAGAATTACATGTTAAGTTTTCACGAGTTTCTAGTTTTGCAACATCTGTAGCGAAGTTCTGCTGGCGTTCAGATTTCATAAATGCTAATAGCAAGATATTCAGGGAGAAGGCTGTTTGAGTGAAACTGCTCCAGTAGGGAGCATGTATGTAATCTCAATAAATGTTATTGCTCAGTGTGTGCTGACTGCGTTTCTAACATATGCTCACTATACCAATATATTTCGCAATAGATCTGAAGCAGGCAAATGGGAAATACAACTTAGCTTGTGGTGTAGACTTTTGGTACCTTCTCTAGTTTTCCTTAGTGCGTAAGCTATTAGTTAATGTGTGTGCATTGTACAACTGTGATGTATTTAAGGAAAATAAATGTTTGACATATTGGTCAGTCTGTCTTGGATAGATTGATGATGTGGATCAAGGAGTGAGTCAATCATTACACTGCGACATATTGTTATTTGAATTCACTGTGTGTAAGGTACTACTCGCATGCACTTTCGACATATTAATAATTGTTGGGTTTTTACATCCTAAAACGATATGTTTGAGGGATGCCATAGTGAGGGCTCCGAGAATTTTGGCCATCTGATGTTCAGAAGACGTTCCTAAATCTAAGTACATAGGCCCCAAGCATTCTGCCCCCATGAAAATGCAGCCCTTACGACTGGTACTCGATCCTGCAACCTTCAGGTTGGCAGTTTAGCTCTAGTCTAAATTCGTTATACCCAAAAATTTGTTACACAAATTTTTAACATTGTATCTATTGCAAGACTACTCTTCATTTACGTCGAAACAAGGTTAGAATATAATCACTAGACCACCGTGGTGGGTTTCTCTCATGTAGATGGCCATCTAGTTGCTTGCTCTGCAGAATATCCTTAAAGTATGAAGCTGAATTCTTGTATCCCAGAAGACTGAAGATAAAACAGATAACATCTTAAGGCTCATCCTCCAATATATTTCTTTATTAACTCCTCATTCTGTGAGAATAAAGTGCCTTTTGGAAACCTTGCTTGAACTTTGTGAGCCAACACCTTTATTTTTTTCAATGCCCGTGCTAACGCGTGCTTCTCAACGGGACTTGTCGGTCCACCTTGGTTCAGGGAGTGGTCGTGATGCGACGCTACATGATTAGTAGCGCTGCTTGGGGCGCACGTGCTTCCGAGCACTTTGCCCCAGAGTTGGGGTCATGTTTTCCATTGCAATATCATATGTCTGTCAGATTTGTTTCTTTGTGCTCCTTTGTGTCTAGAAGCAATGTGCTATCGCATCACAGCACAGCGCATGCAGTAGCATTCCAATGATGCTTCTCGATTGGTTGCCTCCATAGCGCTACCAACACGCCCTATCTCGAAACAGCTTATCTTTTACAGAGCCAGCGTGACTGCCAACATTGTGAGCATCTGGAATGCAAGGTGTCACCCCACTGATCTGTACACAACTAAAAAAAAAGTTACTTGATATGATTTCTGTTGTGAGGCACTGATTGAGGGGTCCCATTCCTCAAGACCATAAAGTGCATTCAAAGGCTAGGTGATGGGCAAGAGCAGGAAATGCCAGAGAAGAGGGTAGTGAACGGCTGGATCGGCCTGGCATTCATAAAATAGGGGTGTTGTGTGAGCCTACAGTGACAAAATTAGACCTGGTCATCATTTGATGGTGGTTGTACTAAGTTTATTTTGTTTCCTATGTGTAAAACAAATGTATGCAGAAATATGCAGAAAAAAGAATTACAGTACTATTTAAAAAATATACACACTTTCTGCATTTTTATAATTCCCAGTAGGACACTAAATAAGAAAGTTACATTGAAGTTGATTTAAAACCATACATCCCTTGAGGAAAACTGTAAAATCCAGTGTCTTCTGAATTACTCAGTTGGCTAGTATAAAATTCTTAGTCTGATTGCACAGCTTGCTCTTATCTTCACTACCAAACTGTTCCTGAAAATTAGAGACAAGGGAACACACAAAGCAAGGTTGATGAGCTGTTTCCATGGTTGTGCATTTATTATAAATTTGAATATAAGCTATTGTAAGAATAGACTAAGCACATGAACCTCAAACATTTTTGCCCCCCTTCGAAAATGCAGACGCCGCAGTTGGGTTTCGATCCCGCGAACTTGAGGTTGGGCGTTGAGTGCCATAATCACTAGACCACTGTGGCCGGGCTTGCACTAACTTTCATTAGGAAGGAAAAAAAAGGTATGAAAAATATTGATAAAGATGTAGCAAATGCCAGCTACTACGATTATTTCTTAAGGGCTACATTTAACCACGTCTGCCAATATTACATTGGCAAATCACTGCAGGGAAAAAATTTCCTTACTTCTCTACAGCCACTGCTCTTATACGGATATCATGTTACACATTTTTATCTAGCAACTGCATTTTGTGGTGATGCCCATTTTGTCTGTGTAACACTGATCTATGCAGAGGCTACTTAATGTGTCAGAGTGCCACCATTACGAGCTATTACTGATTTTTTTATGGTAAAACAATAATAAATGCTTAGTGTAGCAGTCAATTTTCACACATGAAGTCTGTTGCATGGGTGTTTATGGTTTTCAGCGCTAATGTTATAATTGTGTCAAAGTACACAATGAGAGTGCTTTGTGTGGATTGGTCTATTTTGTAGTGTGTACAGAATTTGTGACGAGTACTGGCATAGGAAATATATTCCTTCTTCACAAACAACTTTTGTTGATTTCCAATGATTGCAACACCACTTGAAATCACGAAACTTGCCTTCAGATGAGGAAGTGATATCCCTGCATAGTGTCGCGGGCAAAAACAAGATCTGCAGCCAGGAGCTCACCCGAACCGGAGCAACCAAAACGTTCTCTTCTTCTTCGTAGCCCAAAACGGGTATGAGCCACAGCGGCTCGTTCATCAATGGTGGCATTACCCCCTCTCCCAAGAAGCATCGTCCCGATGCTGTACATGAAGGCAAAAAAAAAAGAAAATGAGATGAAAATTACCATGTAAGCAAAATGAATGGCGTAAGGCGGAATAACATAGGTGGTTGTGGAGTCAAGAGTTAAATGAGAAATAAAAAAAATAGGAAAGAATGTAAGGGAGAGACGAATAAAGTCGGCCACTCACTGGTGATTCACAGCGCGAAAAGTATGGTTTCAGTCGTGAAACATGAACGACTTCAGTTCGCGGGGTGACACGGGAACGTCTCGAAGTGCCTTCTGGGAGAACCTCGTATGTGACGTCGCTGAGACGTCGTACGACCTTGTAAGGGCCGAAGTAGCGGCGAAGAAGCTTTTCTGAACGGCCACGTTGTCGGATAGGGGTCCACACCCAGACTTCATCACCGGGCTTGAAAATAACTTCACGGTGACGAAGATTGTAGCGGCGTGCGTCTGCGCTTTGGTGATGTTGAATACGGTGACGAGCAATTTGACGGGCCTCTTCTGCACACTGCGCGAATTTGGCGGCATCGGTGCGGTATATTTCTAAGTTGTCGGGCAGGAGCATGGCGTCGAGCATCGTCGTGACCTCGCGACCGTGGACTAAGCGAAATGGTGTGAAACCGGTACTTTCTTGAACAGCAGTATTATACGCAAAAGTTACGTAGGGAAGTATGGCGTCCCAGTTCTTGTGATTGATGTCCACATACATCGACAGCATGTCTGCAATTGTCTTATTGAGTCGTTCAGTCAGCCCGTTTGCTTGCGGGTGGTAAGCCGTTGTTTTGCGATGTTCTGTGCCACTTAATCGCAAGACTTCCTGCAGCATCTCTGCGGTGAAAGCTGTCCCACGATCAGTTATGACGACAGCTGGAGCACCGTGACGTAAGACGATGCTGTTCACGAAAAATTGGGCGACATTTGTTGCGGTTGCTTTTGGAAGCGCCTTCGTTTCACAGTAGCGTGTTAAGTAGTCGGTAGCGACCACAATCCACCAGTTTCCAGACGAAGACGTGGGAAATGACCCCAGCAAGTCCATGCCAATCTGATGAAAGGGCGCCTTTGGTGGGTCTATTGGTTGCAGTAGTCCCGCTGGTCGTAAAGGTGGAACCTTACGTCGCTGACAGTCGCGACATGTGCGAACGTAATGCTTCACAGTCTTTGCGAGACGTGGCCAGTAGTAGGAGCGTTGAATCCGTTGCAGCGTGCGCGTATAGCCGAGGTGTCCGGACGATGGCTCATCATAACACGCACGTAAAATGTCACCACGAAGCGTAGTTGGCGCAACAAGCAGATACATAGCTTGTGTAGGATGAAAGTTCTTCTTGTAAAGCACTCCATCGCGGAAACAAAAGGAGGATAGCGAGCGTGCAAAGCTTCGAGGAGGCTGGGAATTGCGTCCTTCCAGGTAGTCAATCAGCGGAATGAGCTCCGAGTCGTGACGCTGTTGCTCAGCTAAGCGGGTTGCTGATACGGCAGAAAGATAAGTGTCGTCGTTTTCAAGGTCAGTATTGGCATTTTCGACCGGTGCACGTGAGAGACAGTCGGCGTCGGTGTGTTTTCGCCCAGATTTGTGGACGATGGTGACATCGAAATCTTGTAGCCGAAGGCTCCATCGTGCTAGACGACCTGAGGGATCTTTGAGATTTGCGAGCCAACAAAGGGAATGGTGGTCGCTAACTACCCTGAATGGGCGGCCATACAAGTATGGGCGGAACTTTGTTATGGCCCAGACAACAGCGAGGCATTCATTCTCGGTTGCAGAATAGTTTTTCTCCGCTGGGGATAACGTTCTGCTCGCATAAGCGATCACGCGCTCTACGCCATTATGCCACTGAACTAATACCGCTCCTAGTCCAACGTTGCTGGCGTCAGTGTGTAATTCCGTGTCAGCGCTTTCGTCAAAATGACCCAGTACAGGCGGAGCCTGGAGGAGGTTTCGGAGGGTGTCAAACGAATGACACTGATCGGGACCCCAAACAAACGAGACACCGTCTTTTGTAAGCTTGTTGAGGGGTTCAGCAATCTTCGAAAAGTTTTTGACAAAGCGCCTGCAATACGCACAGAGCCCCAGAAATCGGCATAGGTCGCGCTTATTTGTGGGCACGGGAAAGGCGGCAACAGCATGGGTTTTCTCCGGATCTGGGCGGTTGCCGGCATGGCTCACAACGTGACCAAGGAACTTCAGTTCTTCATATCCAAAATGGCATTTCTCGGGTTTGAGAGAAAGTCCCGCTGTTCTGATTGCCTGAAGTACTGCATGAAGGCGTTGGACGTGTTGTTCAAACGTGTCTGCAAAGACCACGATGTCATCAAGGTAAACAAGACATGATTGCCATTTGAGCCCTATGAGAACCGTATCCATCATTCTTTGGAAAGTAGCTGGCGCTGAGCATAGACCGAAAGGCAACACTTTAAACTCATACAGGCCGTCGGGAGTAATAAACGCCGTCTTTTCGCGGTCGCGCTCA